ATCCATTTGATGTCGGTCAGATTGAAGTTTCCAAATATAATCTTGTTTGCTTACGAAAGAGCAGGTACCATTAACATGGCGTCAATGAGTTGGGCCTCATAGCTGCTGGATATATCTGACATCTCAGAGACAAATGGCACAAAAATTGTAGCGCTTCTATTATGTGCGATGTTGTTTAAACACAGTGTGCTCAGGATGAATTTATACAGTATACTGCACCAGAGCAAGTGAAAAAAGAATAATGCGTTGTCAAGCAACTTAACCCTAAGTTCCTATTATTTGCGAAGACGTTCCGAATCGATAATTACTATGAACGATTATCGACCTTGACTCCAAAACACAAGGACTTGTTATAAGTTGTATTGCTCAGCAATTAAAATCGATATCGATACAAGGAATGTATTGTACTTTCATTCGTATTCTTTCGTCTTCTCCCAACTTGTACACGATTGAATCATTCGCGCCTTCAAGTTGCCCGCCGCTGGCGACCAAGGTCAATGAACCAACGTTCAATGTTCACATTCATTTATATGCGTCCTGTCATACGACATTCGGCGTTAGAAAATCAAATGGAAAAGACACAAGACAAGGCGGTGTGGTATAAAAAGCAGCGTATCGTTTATGCACAACCTCCACGTATGATTATCCCGTTTGTCGAGTCTAATGTAGGAGCTATATCAGCCATCTGATCTTTATGAGTTCAACTTCGAAATTAAAGATTATGAACTTATTTTTCTGCGCTTCTGAATCAGTTTCTGCCTGCTTTGAATTGCGTACTAAAGCAAGCCTCGCATCTGAACTCCTAGTCGACTACTAGTTTTACACTCCCTGACGAAAAGTAGTTCAATGGTGTCTGAAATGTTAGGAACAGTGAAGTGTTTCAAGCAATTCATTAGCTTGTTTAAGTCATGTATACGATTATCAGGCCTCCTAGGACAACTTCCCGTAAATCTTCGAATAATATTATTGCTATATTTCATCTACCTTTGGTGACTGACATTTTGACATACTTATCGTGTGGATGTTGACAGAATGCTGCCAACTGCTGCCTATTTATTGGTGTACACCTAAATGTATTTTCATGCCTCTTTTTCCCATTCTTTCACTTTTATTGTAATATTGGTTTTCAATGCGTCAGATATGACAGACGCCACTTTACAGGCCTTAGCAATATGGTACGTTGATTATTTTTATAGTTGCTCATGGTACATACTGACACAATTGTTTCTGCTCTAGTCACTTCTGCTTGCGTACAAAGCTTCTTCACTTCATGCTGCATCTTTTTTTCAGGTGATGGAATGTCATTTCTAGTTCGAAGTTGTAAGTACATTGCATGCCGACATGCCGTGGAATTTTTCATGTACCAATTACTAATTTTTCATACGTCTTCTGGAAGAAGTGAAGTTTTGTTTCTTTGGCTCGCATCTTCCTTCCTTTTTCACACCATGGAGTTCCTCTGAGGTGAATGAGTAAATACCTTTTAACTGGTTACAGTCAGGTCTGATTCTTCCTCACTGACGTTGTGTTGGGTAGCCTGCTCATCACAGCTTCTCAAACTGCTTTATTCTCAACTCGCCGACGATTCACCTACTATTTCAGCATCAGGTTCTCGTCTTCATGTGACAGTTCTAACCTCCAAGTCCAACATGAAAGCTCCAGTCACTCGTCCGGTATAGAAGCAGAGGGTAATAATACATGAATTATCAGTAGGTTATCCTCCATCAGAAGCATAACCACTGTACCGGTAAGGATAATCAAAGACAGTTAGAACATTTTACTCCCAAACCACAAGATATTGATTGCCTAAATCTACACGTTTCGCTTTTCCAAGTAGGCTATCCACATATTCCCAACGTTTTCTTTCTATTCCGAAACATTTCGTCTTTACGTTACATTCTGGGGAGCCGTTTTGTTAGACCACCTGAAAGACTTTGAGCTCACCTCCGGTTGGCTTCAACTAGGAATAACGCCCATTATTGCCTCATGAACATCTATCCCACCAGACATTCGCTCCGGCCACATCAGCGGTTGTCCCAAACACTGCCCAACTAGCGGCAGTACGTCAGTTCGTTGGCACGTCAGTAGCAATAATGGACGGGTGGGTAACCAGTTTTCCACCAGGTATTTAGCAGATGTTCCGGCTGGCAAACACGCTGTCTGAACTACTACTGACTAACAAGCGTGTGAAAACACAACTGAGGACGTTAGAAGAAGACGGAAAAGAGGGAGGAAAAACAGAAAAGTGGAGTATTCGTGTGGCACAAGATGTTAACCCCCTGACAAGATTAGGAATTTGTGATAAATTAACTGTGGATCTAACAAGACTTGGTATCATAAACCTCTGATTAGGCAGCCCGGTGCACTATTAATCCCAGGATACGACATGTCTGAGAATTTTTCGACGGCTTCTCATCCCATATGTGTGGGAATAAAAAGTTTACACTCCCCAATAGATGAGCAACAAGTGCCGAGCGGAATCTCCCCCAATGGTCCTTTTCAAGGGAAAACGCTACCGGGACAGATAATTTTGTTAGTGGTACCTTGTGATAAACTACCTGACACTTCACTACTGCTATCTGTTGTATCGAAAATACAGTTGGATTATTACGTAAACTCGAGATTCTAGGTGGCGAGTAGTTGTCTTGTTTGATGGGTGGGGCTTTACATGCTGAACTGTGAACTGCAAATACAGCGGATACCATACGAACACCACCAAACAGCCAATTACTGATCAGCAAAGACACTGTAGCGGCACTAAGTTGGCTTGATTTTGGTTCAGAGATGCAGAAAACAGTCATCGTACACCGCATCCCTGTTGCTGTGTAACAGCTCCCCAAAGCACCATTTGAGGGGTCTGTCATAAGTAAAAAAGGAATATGTTGCTCCGCCTGGCTAAGTGTGTCTTATCCATCAAGCAAGTACTTAAATACTTCAAGTGGCCAAACAACTACACCTGACGGGTGGAATGGATGACTACTTCCGCTACTGAAGAACGTTGCAGAGGCTGAAAATGAAGAAACATAAAAGACAGAATAAATCAGGTAATCGTCAAGATTTAGCAGTTCTCAACTCTTTAGGAAGTGATCTAAATTCTTGTCCTTATAGTGAGTGTCGTGGGATGGTTAGTGAATTCTTGGAACATCAGGAAATTCAGAGAAGCATACTTTCCGAAATGCATGCAAGCCGAAACCTATAGAACAACCCACTACTTCTACTACCGTATCATAAAAACCCAGTTGTTTCAGGAAAAATGGAGTCGGTGACCGTTTAGAGGCTAACGGCATTGACGTTCGCGAATTGTACAGGGTATACTGACGCAAGATCTAATACCAACAACTTCTATAGTATTCGTTCCTTGTGGACCACAGGCAAAGCAAATGACACTATTTGATCATCCGATCTACGAGATATATTTCGGGACCAAATCGTAGACCGAGATGAATGCTTAGCTGGCTAGTGATCGTGCACGAACGTGACACGATGGAGTACCGAATGATGTGGATGCTTGACCGGAAGCCTTCAGCTAAACAAGTCGACTTAAACAGTGAAGGTCGGCATCCAATGTTCAGTGATGATTGCTGTTGTTAATAATTTTGGGGAATTACTTACCGCTACAACCGTCAAGGAAATTACTTTTTAATAATAATAATGATTTACTTTATTCCCAAAACAGTACTTGTGATGCAGAATGGAATTTTCAGCATTAATCACAATATTGCATCTAATTTCCTCAAATTATAAATAAAATTAATCACACAAAAAATTTTTCTACATTTACAATAGGGTTAATATAAAGAAAAATAGAAAACATGCAGCATTTAAATGTAAATAATAGTAATGATAGCAGCTAAGTTAATGATAATAATACAAGTGGAAATTGCCGTGGGCTTGTTTCACACAGTATTGTCGATGCGGTATGCAAATCCTTGCATGATTAAAAATATTGAACAGTTTTCCCTTTACATGATACGGTGAAGGGAAAAACAAAGATTACAGCAGTCATAGAGATAAGTTGGTGTTTGCAGTTATGAAAGTGAAAACAAAGAATCAACAGGACCATAAATATAATAGAAATAATAAAAGTAAAACTTGAAGGTATATAAAGACGGATGGAGGAGAATGTTTATTTACTAGATGAAAAAAGGTTGGTCAATTCTTGCCTGACACTATTTTCATCACATAAAATACGTGCCAAGTATGGTAACATAGAATTTTTATACTTAGATGTGCGAGCATACAGTTTTCTGAAGTTACTTCTTGTTCCACCTGAGGAGATGCAAGGTGAAAGCTGAGGGTGAAGTGGATGCTCCAAGTCAGAAAAAATCCCTTTAGCAAATTTACTGCACGAAGTCAAATGCCTATCGACAACTACCTTGGTATCATCTGCCACAGACGAGTCCGTGTTTTCCAGTTGCGAGGCAAAATGTAGGAAAGAATGATCCAGAGTCACTTAAGTTTTGATCTCTAGAGTCCTAACAGAGAGCTATCAGCTTCAGTATGGGACCTCAGTCGTAAGACCACCTTTATTGGTACTGGTATCTTTGAAAAGTCAAGGAATCTTGTTTTTGGAGAAGCAATAAGGACCGCGTCACGGACAACCTCCAGTAACGGGCTCGGTATATACATAGACCATAGTGGTGAAAGTAAGTGTTCCACAGTGTATAATGTTTACCCCACAAACACCAGTTTCAGTACTGCAGAAAGCTTGGAACTTCCAGACAACTATTTCTGCTGGTTTTCTCACTAATAGTAGCTGATTGAAACCTGTTTCTGTAGTGGGTGGTAGATGTTTCAGTTTTTGACAATGACGCTAACCGAGCTCATGGATACAAACAGCAATTTTAGCGAAACTGCTTAGTACCACATAAGTGCAAGGAAGGCAGTGAATGTAAATCCCTTAGATGAAAACCCAGTTTCCTACAAAATGCAGATTAAATATATTAAGTTTACCAAAGAAACAATCCCCAGAAGGACTGAGCAAAGCCGTCTACATTGAACCTCGGGTGGGTTAGTGGAGTTATACTGCATCAAGCGTCACAGTCTCCACTAAACGCGGTAAAAAGTGAATCATGCCAAAGCGTGGTGAGTATTAGTTTTGCGACTTTGTTTTCGTTCCTTATTTGGCCCACATTTACGTCACACTACAATTAAAGTTGTTTATTTGTTTAGGAAGGGGTGGATCTTCAGGTGGAAAGTACCGAATTTCTCTGGCTTTGCCAGTCGGGGCTGTAATGAACTGTGCTGACAACAGTGGCGCCAAGAACCTATATGTGATTGCCACATTTGGTGTTCGTGGTCGCCTCAACCGCCTTCCCTCCGCAGCCACAGGTGATCTTATTGTCTGTTCTGTTAAAAAGGGGAAGCCAGAACTACGTAAAAAAGTATTGTATGCCGTTGTTGTCAGACAGCGAAAAGCCTACAGGAGGAAAAACGGAGTCTTCATTTATTTCGAAGATAATGCCGGCGTTATTGTGAACAACAAAGGAGAACTGAAAGGTAGGACCATGTGTAAATTGTCTTAAGATTTCAACTTGTAATGCCATTTAATGTTGTTGGCCATAGTTAAAATTAGGATGTAAACTGTTGTGTTGTTTGTACACAGAAACTATTACTACAGCAACGTCTGTGAATGTAGTAATACTCATACCGCATCGCTTCTGTTGTGACTGAAAATTCGATGCTGAAGTATGCTTAATAGACTACCACTTATCGTGAAAAAACGATACCTTTAGTGGATAGTCACTCAACTGGTTACTCACAGACTACAGTCTTCATACCATTGTTTTTACTCATGAACAATTTGTCGTAAAGTAGTTAGACGTTTCACTATCAAGTTGCAGGGGCGTCTGGAGTGCTAGAAGTTTCATTCGATCTGGTTGGATTGCAGTTTGTCTCGAATAATTCTCGTTAAGGTTCACAGTAGCCTTAAATTATAAGTGAGTGTATCACCCTGTATGGTGTTAAATCTAATAGGTTTGCAACTGTTTGACCTGGGCCTGACAGCATTCCAAAGTTCGTGATATCTAATTGACCCGGGCTCGACTTGATTGCAATCATTTGCACTCCTTTGGAGTTGACGCCCCTTATTGTAACCTAAGTATGTGCTCCACTTCTATGGTAAACACAGTTGTGACATGGCATCACTAGTGTCCACTGCGATTAAGAGTGGTTCTTTATTATAACCTGTTTAATAGATAAATGTAAGGTAGATTTGATTTCCTCACACCTGTTGCAATGTGGAATATACGTTTATGTATATGAGTAGTGCTATTTTGTTAGATATTTCCGTAAACTTCGTCATTCGGGTGGTGTATGTGTATTTATCTGAAAGATATCTGTGTTGCGTTAGCATGAGTGATATTTCTGCTTACTTATCCCAAATAATCTTATATACCAGGCCACCAACTAAATATTGTGAGATGCTAGCAATACGGTTGAGTTGACCAGGTTAGCCTAGGGTGGTTAGAATTAAACCTGGTACCTACTGCTTGTAAGTCGATTGTGCAGACCAGAAAGTCAGATCGATAAAATTAAATTATGGCGTGACACATTTGGCACTTTAGTGTGTAATGTTGATTGCATAGTTGCGTGTAACAGTTCAAACTGCAGTAATTGAAGTAAAAAACCGAACCACGTCTTGCAGGCTGAGGTCCTACAGCTCATGCAGTCCATTTAAATGTCATGACAGGATTGTTAACATAAACTCTCTTCAGATGCACCACGTTACATGTTTCTCTATGGTTTTTAACATTTTGCAAACATACCAGTCTCCGTATTTTTGATAGTGCTGCGAGTGGAAACCGATATGATTGAATTTGTTGGTTAATTCTGTAAACAACATACGAAAGTCGTGATTTTTGGTTACTGCCACAGTCAGTTGTGTTAATGTAATTAGTAATAATTAAATGAAAATTTTCATTTCAGGATCTGCAATTACTGGACCTGTAGCCAAGGAATGCGCGGATATGTGGCCAAAGATCGCATCTACTGCCAGCTCTATCCATTAATCAATAAAATTACTTTTGGCATCGCATTAGTTTTTTTTTCTCACTTGCTTGGACTATACAATGCTGTCAGCCGTAGTTAACCGCGGAGTTCTATACAGGCGTGTGGATGCATGATTCTTACCAATAAGTGGTAGTAAATTCTGAAATAGAACGTCACGGCGTGACTACTTCTGTATGCACGCTGACATACTATCTGGAATAACTTCCCGAAAAGGTAACTAAAAAGCATGATAGCGTAGTGATAAATTCGAAAGGTGATCAGTGGGGATGTTTATTCGCATATCATTCGACTTGAGTATTTGTTTACTAGAGAGACCTTTCTTACCTTCCTTTTGCGTGTTAATTTTCTTCTAACGACTGGCAGAAAGACATGTACATCGGTTTATTAAGAAGAAGCTATTCGGTTTGTTGATCAACTAATTGTGTTGACTTAAGTCAGTATATAAGTTTCTTCTATGAGAAGTAACAATGATTTGGCAGTTGAATCGGTCTGTAGACTGCTGTGTTGAGTAGGTTGACAGTGCACTGAGGAGAGGTGAGGAGCATTGTAGGGATGTGTCATTACTAACTTCTATTTGTGGATGACAAGGTTTTTATTAAGTGACAGGTGATTTAAACGAGTGGAGGATATCTTTTTCTTCAGGTCTACCAAGAATAGTAAGTGAACTCTTCACAGTGTGTCTGAGTCACGTTTTTACGTAAAGGTTCACAGCTTCGATGCAGTTTTCTGATTCAGTCTTCAACAAAGTAGCGTATAGACTGATGGACATCAGTAACCGTCCTACCCATGTCATTGGTCATTTAAATTACCATGCGGTGTTCTCTTTTTATGGTATAAACGGGGGTTTGTGAGCTTGATGCCCATTTCTGTGTGCAAAGCTAAGTTGATAGGAAGCATCCATCCATTAAATTAAAGTAGCAGCTTATTAGGCTCTGTATATAGTGTATGTATGTCTCTTCTTAATTCCCAAAGTTTTGCGTCATCTGCGTAGAGAACCACGAGGACCTGGTAACTTGAGTTAGTGCGTCAATATACAGAGGGCAAAAAGCAGTACCTTGAGGCATCTTGCCTGTTGTCGTCTCCCAGGAAGAGAGTTTGGAGTTGATCCTTACTCTTTGTCTTTGGTGCAACAAGGCACTTATTGCTGAAGACTAGAACGTCAGGTTGTTGCTTTGATGTTACTTGGAACAGGTGCCGGCGAAGTTTCACTGTATGTAGTTTTGCCATACTCCCATAACATTTAATTTTAGAAAAAACAACAGACTGAGCGAAGAAATATATTCCACTATAATTAATTCCTCTTTATGGATTCTACACTGATACGTAGGTTTTTACATCAAAATTTTACCAGTCAGTAGGTTACTTTGGTTCAGTTTTAGGTAGGAGAGGGGTGAAACTCAGAGGTTAAAAGTCATCAAAACAATGAACTAACAGGTGTTAATAACAAGAAAGAGGGGTGAGAATTAACTACGGAACTCAAGATCAGTTAATTCGTAGGGGTTAACAAGTTTATTACATTTTATGTAGTTGGCCACGAAAAGAAAGGGACTATACAAATTTACTTTGAACACACAAATTTGGCTTGTTAAGATGAATTCCGATTGCCTCAGATGTATGCAAAAGTCGTACTCGTAGACCATACGAGAGGTCGGGTGAAATGCAATAACTAAGTTTAAGAGCTTTGTTAGATTGATGTCCAGTATCGACGAGATGAGCTGTGTGTAGCTTTATTCGAACCTTTGCCAAGCCAAGATGGGAGGTGTTCAATAATTCGAAAACGAACTTGCCTTCTTGTACTCACAAGTAGTTAAACCGGTTAATACACATGGAAGGGACAAAACAGGACAGTTTGCCTTTATTTCTTGAACGAAGTATTAGTTGGCTAATGATGAACATACAGCATGACTTAGCTGCGCTGAAGGCACTTTTCAGACTTGATAAGATCTCACTATTGACATCACCCGTGAATTGTAATCTTAGGAAGACTGTTTTTTTGCCGGGAACAGTGGGTACCTTCGATTCTTTATTTACTGAGTTCATGGGTATTTGTTCTAAAATGTAGTCGAATATCCGTGTCTACTTAGTAGATCACGAATATTACTGAATTCTTCGTTCAGTGTCTCATTTGAACAGATAACTCTAGCCTTCAACTGAGCATCCGCGACAGCCTTCCATGTCCGATGACCTGCAATTCTGTAGGAAAAGAAGTATCCAGTGGACTCAAGGCATAAGTAATATTGTTAACTTATACATGCCTAATAAATACCAGCCCGGAGTGAAGTGGTAGAGTACGTTGACTGCTTCACTTATTTGGGAAGTACCATCAGCCCCAACGGGTGGATCTCTGACGAAATCTCAGTACGGATACAGAGGGCTAGTTTCGCATATGCCAGTTTATGCCATCTCTGAGGTAGACGTGATATCCGGTTATCGACCAAGGGGCGGATGTACTTGCCACCAGTCTGCTCCGTCCTCCTTTGTGGCTGTGAGACCTGGCCATTGAGAGTGGAAGACATGAAAAGATTAGCTGTCTTCGATCATGGGTGCCTGCGTTCTATCTCTCGTGTGAAGTATAATAAGGTGAGCAATATTGAGGTTAGGCGTCAAGTTCTAGGTAAGGAGGGGAAATCAATAGACGAGGCTGTGAAGCTACATCGACTGAGATGGTTAGGACATGTGTTACTTATGCCTAGTCATCGCCTTCCTCGACAACGGGCAATGTTAGCTGACATAGGATGGATCAGGTTGGAAAAAAGGTACGACGAGGTGGTCAAACCAAAACATGGCGTCATCAATCAATGAAATCCACAACAGTTAGTTTAAGCCACGTAGGAAGGTGTAGAATTCCTGGTTAGGGTCTTCGGGACGGTAAAACCAATGGTTGGAAACAATTGGTGACATGGCTCAAAGTCGTTTTCAGTGGCGCAGATGCATCCACTCCTTGTGACTTGTGATTTCCAATTAAACTGTTTTTATCTTCGTTCTTACTATATCTTTGTCTCACACCTCTGTTTACTGTCTATATTATGCATTTCTTCTCTTGCTTCGTGTGCTACATGGAGTGTGGCGACTTGAACTTCTGCACATCGGTGCAAAGTTCTATGTCGAAAACAGACAGCCCGGTAGTTTCCATACTCCTAAGTTTGGAGTGATTGAATAAAAAAAGCAAGGTGGATTTCACGATGTCTTACGTTACTGAGTCTTCAAAATCATCCACACAATATTCTTCTGGATAACTTCAAGTTTTAAGGTGATATGTCTAAAGTTCAATCCTAAAATTCAGTTCGAAGTACAGTTGTAAATGATAGCATGTGGTAGTATTCAAAAGGAAAGATTACCATAAGCGACAATAAACTTGGTAAGGTAAGGGCAAAATATTGTAATTTATATTTAAACATAAATTGTATTGGTTAAGATGGGGTCATTTCACGGAAACAGTGCATAGTTTCATTTGTCAATATAGGCATAACTGAATAAACGAAGTTAGTTAAAGGAGTAACAGTTCTAAATGTAGGTCGATACAAATTAAATGAATACAATACATGGGCGTAAACACTTAATGAAAGTTCATGTGGGTTACGATTGTCTAGTACACATAATAATTCAACCCAATCGAATGACAGTTTATGCCGTAAGTAACATTAGTCTTCACCAACACGTTTGAAACGAGAAGACAGGGATATCCTGAACCGACGTGAAGAACCTAGAAGACCTGGATTTCGCGGATGATTTATGTTTGATGTCACACGAAATCGAAAACTTACAAGCGAAAGCCGACAAACTGGTCGAAGAAGCAGCAAAGACAGGACTCCAGGTGAACATAGACAAGACGGAGGTTATGAAAATAACCAACCAACAACAGCAGCATCAACGGGAGGGATTTGAAAGAGGTTACTGCATTCACTTATCTAGGGAGCATTGTCTCAACTACAGGAGGAACGGTTGAGGATGTCACATCGAGAATCGGGAAGGCGAGAAACACATTCATCAACCTGAAACCAATCTGGAAATCTTCGCCACTGCTCAGCATCAACAACAAAATTCGGATTTTCAATACAAACGTAAAGTCAGTTTTGCTATACGGATCAGAAACCTGGCGGGTCACAAGGAATATTTCCAACAGGTTGCAGACCTTTATCAACAACTGTCTTCGCTCTATGCTGAAGATCAGATGGCCGGAAAGAATCACCAACAAGAAACTATGGGAACAAACAAAACAAGAACCAATCGCCCAACAAATATGCAGGAGAAAGTGGAGGTGGATTGGGCACTCGCTGAGAAGGCAGCTGATTGACATCGCGAGTCAGGCCCTCGAGTGGAACTCGAAAGGGAAGCGGCGAGTGGGACGTCCAAGGGTGACATGGAGGAGATCGTGTGAAGAGGAGTTGAAACGGTATGGACTAACATGGATGCAGGTGAAAAGTACAGCAGGAGACAGAAGCAGCAAGTGGAGACGTGCAGTTGAAGCCCTATGTTCCACTAGGAACTCAAGGGAACAATAATATATAATAATAATAAACCACGTTTGAAGAAAGAAGCACTGCCCAAACTATGCAACTTGATCCTTGTTCGATCGACTTCAACTCGGTATAATAGTTGACAGTCTCAAACACACTGGTATACATCAAAAACGAAATACGCCGCTAATATGAATAGGTATTATTATTCCATCTGAGTGGACTTCAACGGCACATCTGCAATCAATTTCAGCCAGGCTCCACGACTGCCTACAGACCTTCATTCCATGTTCTCATAATTTCCCCAGTGTCACCTTTGGATGCCCAACCTGTTGATTTCCATTCGGTTCACCTTCACCAAGGCGTGTTTAACTTGTGGCGTCACTTAGATGTCCCCTTAGCGTAGGTTATATCTATCTATTGCTCTTGTATACTTCATGATAAGGGAAGTTATTCACATGAAAATCACTGGAGAAGTTAGTCGTTTCAAGTCACTGTATTCGGAAATAGCAATAGAAAATAAGAGAAGAGTTGTCACCATGGGCTACAGTAGTTCAAGTTCTCGAAACTGACATCTGTGCGTCATATATCAAATGAAAAGATGGTGTACAAAGATATGAAATCAAAGCAGTCGATAACTATAAAATATCATAAGACAAAAAGAAAAGGTAAGGTCAATTTGGATATCTTATGATACAGCAAAAATGTATCTGCATGCAAAGCTTCGTACAAAAGTACACATCCGTTTAAGTCGCCACACCTCATAAGAACATCCGAAGATGGAGAAGAGGAATGCAATGAAACTATATAATAGATGAAAGTACATGGGAGCGAGGAAAACTGGAAGGAGATTAGAAAGAACTTTCAGAATCTAAATGATAAGGAAGTTTGAATATGCTTACACCACTGACAGTCTGAAACCATTGATTTTTACCATCACGTGGATTCCAGCCAGGTAACTAACTCTACACCTTCTGGTCCAGACCAATAATCAAAGACCACATATAAGTATAAAACTTGAGCACTGTGGTGGTAGAGTATAACTCCATTATAGATAAGATTTTATTTTGAAAAATCACACAGTATTGTTATACAGTAATATTAACTGATGACCACGTTTCGAGCACAAACTATTACTGCTCATAATCATATCAAGTCACTCAAACAACTTTTTGCTTCATTTATATACATGAGTAAAATTGATTAGATATAGACTAGGGTTAATGTATGTGTAAAACTTGGGCACTGTGGTAGTAAGTAATTCCATATTAGTTTGTTTATTAGATATATCACATAGTGAAACAGTATAAGTGTTTACTGAATGACATAGTTTCGAAAAGAAATTATTGTCCATAATCGTATTGATTATAATCACACGACTTCGAAACTTCACTTCTATAGTTTTCTTTGTTCTCTCCTATTTGTCGTCGTTGGGGTAGTAAAATTTTCCATATGCCGACTGGATAGGTGTTGAATCGCTCCTATTTCACGTGTTTGCAGTTGATTCGATAAACAAAGCTTCCATTACCAATCTCTCTACCCATACTGTTGTATTAGATTCTAAATCTGTCATGTTATCCCATCCTATTGTATGGTTGTGTAATTGCATGCAGTGCTTTCTATAGCTGAATTAGTCTCTAGATTTCTTATCTTGTTAAAGTGAACTAATTTAGGTTTTTGTGCTTGGCTAGCCTGACTGCCCCTGTTCTACTACTTTGACCTGACAATCATTGCAGGGTGTTAGATAAACTAAATTGTCTTGTTTTAAAGGCTCCACAGGATTGATCCTGGAACCGACAAAGCTTGTTTCTAATTGAGTTTGTGGGTGGTTTGAATGCCAGCCACTTTTATTCCTGCCTGCTTTGTTAAGAATTCTGCGTAAGGTTTCCGAGGTTCCTTTCTTGTATAGAATTACTACTGGTGATTTAGATTCCTTATTGTTGGTGTTGTCATTATCTTGCGCATGTTTGAAACGAGTGTCGTCATTAATATTATTATCATCACTATCACTACTATCATTATTTATTTGATAGATAAGCACCTGAATCTGGAAATTTTCCATGAAACTATAATCGAAAAAACTCATTCATTATTATATAGTCATCTCAGAACTTTCGATTTCTCAGGAAAAAATCACGACAGCCTTCCACTTCAGTTTACATACTTTGGAAATAACTGATTACTCAAACCTGTTAGTTTGCTGTTTATTACCATCCAAATGCAAAATAAAAAAGGATGCTCTTATATGCTATAGGCTATAAAATAATCCCTGTAACCAATCAACCAAATCCCTACAAACCAATACTTGAATATCAATGAGGTGCTCACTGGCAACTGGCCCTATTCAGGAAGGTAGTTATCTGGGGTTCCAGTGGGAAGTCGTGACCAGTAGGGTGCAGCAGGTCGGGTGTGAGGACAAATACTCGCCGAAGACAGTGGCTAGCGGTTGCGCCATATCGTGAATTGGCAGAAGTTAGAATTCATGGGCCATTGGATCGAGTCCCAGTGGCTTAATAGTCTACGAGCTCGCCTTGTAACCAGAAGGTCCTGGGTTCTAACCCCGGTGGGTGCGTACTGATGAAGAGTCCCAAACTAGGACGAAACAGCTGTCCAGTACTCCCAGGTTTTCCAATAGTTCTCTAGCCAATGTCAGCTCATGATGAAATCATGTAAACAAAAGAATTCCTGCTTACTCCTTCATTCCTTTACGTTCAAATTGAAACAGAAGGCTTCAAGAGCTTTGATGTTTCACTAACGATGCTTGTCGCTAGTCCCGTACTCAAATTCCCTTCTCTCCAGGCTTTCTGTTGGTTTGTGAACTAGGAAAGGTTTAGGAGTCCGTCAGCCAGGAGTTAAAGCTGGAGGACCACGTGCGTGTTCTGCAAACACTCTATTGCTGAACCATCTATGCACTTCATTGAACATTACGTAAACATTAATAGGAGAAATTGTAGATGTATAAGGAACATGTAGATAAAACTCTCTTTATATAAAAAAGATATTTCGGTCGTCATCCATTTATATTAATCGTAGCTATCCTGCTATAATGGTCGGCCAGGAGAGAGGATACTCTATTGAGTGGAACATAGAATAATATGGGATGCACTTGTGAACTTGTGCGTCGGTGGCACATCGGTAGAATGCCCAACAACCACACATGCGGTTCGGGGTTCCATCCATGGCCAACGCACTCCTTTACCTCGCTAAGCCAGTAATAAGATTGATAGAGAGGGAAGGTTGGGGCATGAGGCTAGCAACTCCATCCTGTAAAAATTAACACCACTGCTACTGAAACTTCAAGCCTCTAGCCTGAAGCCCTATGTTCCACGGGGAAAGTACGGGAATAAAATAAAATTGTGGACTTGCAAAGAACCGTGATGTGTTCGATTCTTCTGGAAACCATCATATAATAAACCAAGTCAATAGGTGAACTATTACGTGAATAGTGTACGTCGATGGCTCAGTGATAGAACACTAGCCGATCATGCACACACTTCGGGTTCCATTCAGGGATGGAGTATTCCTAAACTTCGCTAGCCGATAGAAAGCCAGGAAGTTAGGAATAAGACTAGCAACAACACCACCGCGCTTCGTGAAACACCAAAGCTTTGCAGTCCGGAAAGCAAGGAGTGGAAGGAAAATTCTGCAATACAAAAAGTCTTGTTGACGAACAAAACATGATCTCATCTATAAATGAGATCAATTCTAGCTTAGCACATAAACAGATTTTCACTGAAACTAGTGTTAAAATCTAGCTGTAAGAATAACAAGCAGCAAAAATTGTATCAAAATATTTATTTCATGATTTACAAGAACAATGTACAATGTAATATCAGAGTCAATCAAAACAACTATGCAGTCTCTTCTGATACTTCTTCAAATGTCCCAGTAGAATTGATTGTCTGACTTGCAGCTACACCTTCAGGAAAATGTTTCTCTACCAATTGAAGAATTTCATCTGCTTGACTATTAGATAACCGTGAATCCAAATCACTGATTAGCTAGAAAAATAAAGTTTTAAACAAAAAAGAAAATAATGACAATATTTAACTACCGAGGAAATCAGTACTAAAATGATGACAGTGTTAGCTTTACTGCTGGTAGATTTCACAATGTACACTGAATGTATAGAGTTATTACTTTTGAAGACAAAGACCACCACACTAATTTGCAACTTATTACAAAATTTTATGGAGAATGTATTATGCAGGAGTCAACGATACTTCCTGGAGGATTAGATACTAGTTGCGGAGTTTCTCATTCAGGGAACAGTTAAAAACTGTTGACTCGGGGAGACACACTTTAAAAATTTAGATTTATACAGAGTGTTGGCCTTCATAATTGCATGTTTCAACTGTGAATATTATTCGTTTTCAATTCACCTGCTCGTGTGGAGCTAGGTATATCGGTCGTTCGACTCGAGTTTTGTCCAAGAGGGTGCAAGAACATTATCCTGTGTGGTCACGAAGAGATGGAAGCGGAGCTATAAGAAGCGTGATCATTGAACATCTGGTCGATAATGATCACCCTATCTCTATAGCCTCCGCCTTTAAAGTCATCTACAAGGCAAACAGTAATTTACCCAAATCCCTACGTACCCGACTCATCTGTATTGCTGAAACTTTGGCTATCGAAACAGAAAAGCCAGATCTCTTTGTACAGAAAAAGTTCATTTAACCCCTCCAACTTTCATTGACTTAATCCCTCTATGCTTAAGTATGGTAATCCCCTAACAACTTTTCATTTTTTGTCTATTCAATTTGTATACTCTTCCTTTATTACGTCAATCGTCAGTTACTATTACTATTCTCACTTTGAACTGTCCCCGGTATTATTTCACTTGTTCCACTTGTCATTCTAAATCAATTCTGTCTTGCAACATTAAATTCTATGTTATCAAATTTCACACAATATTACGCAACGTTTTTATTTTATTCGATTTGTCTACTAATCCTATAATTGCACACCCTTGCCAAGTTCTATCCATCCCATGAATTATTCTATATATGACAATAACTGTTTCGCTACATGACATTTAACTATGTTTATAATCACAAACATTTTAGTTTTAATTGCACTTCATACTATTATAATTATTATTTTATGCATTCACACCTGTTTCAATTCCCTCACCGGATATAACTTCTTAAAACCATATATATACGATTGTACAGCCTGATAATAAATTCGTTGAAAGGAGTCTCTTCGCTGAATCACTTTCTAAATATTATTCGTAACTCAGCTATCATGTAAAATCGATTGAAACTTATACCAACAAAATAGGGATTAGGTGAGATCAACATTAATATAGTTTCACACACTTGCAGAAGAGAAAGAGGAATAGCAGCATAGAGAAGAGAATTAGGAAATGTTAATAAAAATATTCAGGAATTCAATAAAATTCCGGAGTCATATCACCAACGCTTTCCAATTAGTGAGTATTAGCATTTTTATGAAGCGAACCCAGCTAGCATCTTAAAATGAGAACCATTACTAAAGTAAGAATTTAATTACAAACCAAAGGGTTGCTGTTTAAGTATTTCAAAATAACCAAGGAGTACCTATATGACCAAATAGTATTTTAACTCTAAAAGATTTTCCTTATGATTGACAATGATACTAACCGGCAGCCTAAACCAAAACATCTGAGTGCTGAACGTTTGAGATAGTTTTGAAATAAGATATTGGACAAAACGGAGTACACAGCTGTAGAATAAATGTGACAATCGCAGAATAAAAGTCTATCTTGCAGAACACCACACAAAGATAATCAATTACTGGACGACTTTCAACACTCTGACACTCCTTATAAATCTCTTCTCGTCGCAGTAGGCAGATGTATCTCCGTTAATCTAGTTGGTAGTGGTTCACAATCATAGTAATTACTTTACATTCAGTTCGAGGACTGAGTTTCTTTTAAGCTCTTATTAAAATTAATGATTGTTGAGCATTTTCCTCAAATGCTATTTTCGCTTTGTTAAGGCGGTGGCAAAACGCGTAGTACTTTAGAATTAGCTACTTTATGATGTAATTAAGAAGGTTGTTTCATTGTTGCTAGAAATATACTACCCCACCTCAAAACGCGGCCACATAACAATGGCTGTACAGGAATTCGTACTTCAGATATCATTTTAAGAATTATTCTTCGAGGTATATATGTGGAAGTCTATCAACAAAGGGTTTTCTATAAGCACTCCGAGAACACTAGTTGAATGTCTTGACAAAGACTGAATCAATAGCTTTAAGTGAAGCAATCATCTCTGAAAGTGACTTACATCATTCATTTGTTACTAAACTTAAGTCGAATAACATTTTAAAAATAGGATGCAGAAACTCAAGGAGAAATAGAGAAGTTTAAAGAAAGAATGAAAGCACTGAATAGGGTCTTTGTTCTTAATTACGGTTGTGAAAAACAAATGCTTAGCATGCGCGGAACTCAAAGTAGTGTCGTGCTCTACTCAATCAACATCTTTCTTTTACTTTAAATTTGACGAGTTCGTTTGGATTTTCCTTCGCTCTTGCATATAAGTGTGCGGGGTTTATAATAGTACGCAGTTACCCACGGTGAAGCAGGTATTCGTAACCACAACCCACTGGATCAAGGAAAAGAGCTAAAACCAATAAGACTCATCTGAAAAAATAGGAAAACTCAACAATGGACCCAACAAATATTAGCATAGGACATAGTATAACTGAGGAGTAGTCCAAGTTATCGTATTTTGTATATGTACATATATATATATATACATATATATATATATATATATATATATTGCTGGAGTGGGAATAAAACACGAAGATAACGGGATGGAAATAACACGAATATGCAATAGAATGTTACGACATAAAACAAGAAATTTGAGCAAACAAATAAATATAGTTTTGATACTAGAATGAAGATACATAAGGAGTTTACCTTGGTTACAGTCATAGAATCAAAAGCCACATTACCTACACGCTATAACAACCAGCCTTAGTTGTCCTATGGAACACACAAAATTATGGTTCTTATACACAACAGACATATCAATTCAGGTATCTTGACTCGTTTACAGGAATCACATGTTTCCTTGTGGGAATACTAACAATAATTATGGTGTATTCCTTTTGAGTAAATTGATTGTAGTAGTATGAACTTATAAGTAAGAACAGAAATCTTACCGAACCAAAGATGAAGACACTTGAATGTCCAGCAAAAAAACGCTTCGATATTGCAAATACAGGAACCCTTTTACACTAATAATTTCCATTAAATCTTTACAACTTTTCTTTTATGGTTATTTACAGTCTACCTCCATAAACTCACCCTGTAAATGATCCTGCTTCGCACTCTTACTATTGTCTCTCCTATTAATCGTCTAACACCTGTGGTCGTGTTTTATTACGGGGAAAGCGCTGTTCCAAGTCAATGTTAGTTAATTAGATATCAATTAACCAGTACTGAACTGTAAGTCACACTTACTGTATGGGGGCTAGTGATACTATCCAGTTGTTTCGGGTGATCTAGGTGAGGTGGAGCTCGTATCCGGGACCCACTGACTGAAAGTCAAGAGCTTAAGCCAACGTGCCACATCTCCACACCCATTTAACCTCACAAGCATGTGTACTTCTGCATTAAAGAAGCTTCCACAACTGGACCAAGAGATGAAAGATTTTTTTCTGGTAACACCATGAACACCACTAGTTAATAAGCACTTTAAAACATAAGAGAAATTTGCAGACAAAAACGGAAATAGAAGGAACTAACTCGATGAAAAATGCCTACATACAGTTTACAATTTATTTAGGATAGTAGGCTAAATGCCTGTGTTAATCCTTTCGATTTGTTACACACAGGAGGTCCAATCTCGCCTTGAATGAATCAACGGATGGTGCTGATACGACGTGTTCCGGTAGGGAGTTCCAATGGTTCACAATTCGATGCGAGAAACGGATCTCCAGACGCATATGTTAAAAGAACTCGCGTCCCATATCTTAAGCAACAAAATTTTCTAAAATCGCCTGCATTGTCAATGATTAACTTCGTCAAACCTTTCCAAGATCTACCAACCCTCAGAAGCATTGTGCGAATCGCAAAGTTGGAACAATGAAGGCTCTCTACAAACAGTTTACACAGGAATTTTGCAGGTTACAACTACCGAAGTGACTTGCCGAATCTTATCAAAAACGATCTTGTGACCAAATACTGTGCTTACAAAGTGCGTACAATCTCAAAAATTTGAGTTTTTCTGAATATTTTGGATTGTATGTTCCGGCAGCTGTGCATACATGTTTTGTAGGAATGATATATAAATATATTTATACGGTCAATAAGGTATGAGTTTATGTGTAGCGTTACTACGTAGACAAAAACATCTAACAGACGACTCGATAGTTTTGGATAGAATACTACTGTGAAATACATTACAATCATGAGCAAAACTTCCGTATCTTAGTCCCCTGTTTTCAAAAGTAGAATCGAAAGTTTAGGGTCTAGTTTTAAAGGGAGATTACACTTAAGAGTTTGTAGTGCATGCCATAGGTTATTTTTCTTTCAAGCATTATACAACACCATCATGCGAATGTCTGTATGAAAACAAAATAATGAATTCAGGCAGTAGGTGAAGTACAAAATAAACTTACCACTGACAGCTCTACCTGGCTACTAGGACAGTGGTTGATAAGCATAAGAATCTCAGCTTTTGTCAATTTAAAGGGCTTGATAGCTTCGGCAAAAGCCTGTACTTCTGACTCCGACTGTTTACTGGATGGTGTTTTGCTATTTAAGTACTTTCCACATGTGTATAACAGTGTTTGCTGACGCCTAACTTTTTTCTTGGACTCTTTTATAAGCTTTAAGACTTCAATATTTGTTAGGAGTCGTGGGTTTTGAGAGTCGATGAGTTCCATCTATTGTTTTCGAAAGAAATTTTCAAGTCAATTCTGTTTCAGGTTACGTTCAACAATAACAGCTCCTGTCCAAAATACAAACCCCCAAGATATAGAAACGATAAGAAAACACAAAAACCAAAACAATTTCTGTCTGGCGTGATAAGGGACTTGGTACATACTTTGCCAGTATCCTAGCAACTTCTCAAGGTTAACGCATAAAATTCCAAACACCGGTTCAGTGATATGTTCAACGTTCCATTGGAATCGCTTTCATTATATTGCTCTTAAGGATACATCATAGACACCTGTGACTAGAATCAATCCAATGCACTTTTGGAACTTTCTCTACCTGACTGCTTTTATGTTCAGAAGAGGCAGCAAATTTTAACTTCTAGTGTTGTCTACGTGCTGACTGTGAAATTTCGATCCCGAATTTTGAAAATTTTATCTTATATTCTCCAGTGTAATTCTGAGAGAAACATTTGATGTTATTCTATATTGACAACGATGAGAATAACGATCCAGGTAGCGCCGAGTTCAGGGTGATCAAGAATGCTCTGACCCCGAGTGGATGCTCACAATTGCACCTCGGTGGGTTGAAACTCGCTACGGACCCTAATCGGGTGCACTCGCGGGTGTATTTTTCGTCAGTGGTGAGGCCTCACTGTTCTATCTTTATTATGCGTTGGTGGCAAAGCGGTTAGGATGCCCGCCGCTCATGCACATGGTTCGAGATTCGATTCATGGCCGACGCACACCCGATATCCATGGTCGGCCTTCAAAATTTGGGCTACCAATACCAATGCTGAAAATTTCATACTTGTATCAAAAACACTGTGTGGAGTCAAGCTGTAATAAAATAAAAAATGACCACATTGGAAGTGTTTCTGTGAAATCCTAATTTCTTCTGGAATGTAATCTTCGGCTTTTTCCCCCCACACCTGGGTGGAAAACCCTTACTTCACTGAAAAGTGACTCGAAAATTCCTAACCATCGCAGCCGCTCTTCCATGTATCGCACTTCTATTACTACCGAATTCACCACCCCCATCACCAAGTTACAGTTTTATACTTTATCTCTTCCTGTCTTCCACGGCCAAAATATACCAAATGTACATAAAATCTCTCGCGTGTAGCTAAGTCTTAGTTCATTTGACCTAGAATTTCTTGTCGATTACTAGCAATTTCGTCCAAATTACATGCTTCGTCAACCATGTTTGAATGATGTGTTAGCATTGTAACGTTGGTTGGCTATCTTTAAATCTATAGATTCTTTTCCTTTCTTGCAGTCGATTTTACACCGTACAGGTGATCAATACTTACGAGACAAACAAAAAATAGGGTGTGAATCATGTTTTACCTGTCCCATGAGATAATTTGTTGTGAATAACTACTACTATTATGGTACTATCTAGGCTTTAGTTTCTGGTTTTGATGTGAACATTTGGGATATCTTTCAATCAAAGACTGCCAAGAGGTCAATAAATCACATCACCTGAAGGGTTTCTGGCCTATTTTCCTGTTGAACTCATCTATAAGTGACGCCCGTGATTTTTTGACCGCGAAATTTGCCAGACGCAGTCTGGTGCCCAAAATACTTCTAAGGACAGCTCATCTGGGAAGGGAAAAATGTAGTACGGTGATGTTAGTTTTTAGGCACTCAACATTCGGGAGCGCACCAATTACCTTTGTACACTGTGTCAACATTGTAAAGAAACAACACACATAACACTATATTTGCGAAAGGAGGTAATTGAATAAAGCGTAATGTTATTGAACTGGATAACTGCTTTGTTTTAAGTTAAATTAGATTTAGGGTAGGGACACGTCAGGGTGGAAATGACCTAATAAGGCGTAGATTAGGGCTGTTTGTGGGAAGATTAGGGTTAGTTTTGGGTTAAGGGACCAAATTTGCATTTCAGCGACACGGCCCTTTCTATTCTTTTAGCCTTCGGGATTTGAAAAGACACGTTTGGAGGGGCAGCACAAGAGGTCCATGACTCAACATTGTTAAGGGAATTCTAGAGTACAGTCTGGAGTATGGAAAAGGATATTTGAAATCAAAATGACACAATTTATCCGGAGTGAGGAATTGGAAAGATAATAAAGTTCTGGAAAAACCAGAAGACCAGAATGAATTTAATACCTATAATATTTAGGTTTAGTGTACCTTATGTATTCACTAGAGGTTTAATAAACAAACAATTGTTAGATACCATATCGTAAACCTGTTTCTGTCTGCTGCTTCTGCATAGCCAAAAATACCTCTATGACCCCTTACTCAGGCAGAGATAATGTCAGACATCGTTTCTACATGGGTGATTGTCAATCAAGTGGGTCAGAAAATGTCAACAAAGCTACCGAGAGTCATTGTTGTTGGCAAAAGGTGATTATCCAGAAATGTGAACACTGGTTGGTTACTTAATAACGCACTGAACTTCAGTGGGACTGGTAACAAAAGACATACCGTAACGTCGGAGATTAACTGCTAAGTATTAACAAACCAACATTATTATAATATCATTTTCGTTCCCTTGGGTTTCGAGTGGAACACAGGGTTTCGACAGCACATCCAGACTTTGTTCTATTTTCTGCCGTCCTCTTTAGCTGGCACCACGATTGCTTCCAGACTCTCACTTCCTATCCACCCGATCGCCTACATGTCACTATTGGAAGACCCTCTCGTCTAGTGGAACTCGAATGGCTAAGTTAATTATGCACCATTTCGATAATAAAGTACACAGCTGGTTTGTATAAATATAGCTTAAAGTCAATGTAACATCCATCAATACAGCTGATGCTACTGGTCTGGCCCTCTACCAAACACCGAACGCCAAAGTCACAGTGGGGACTGTCCCCTTCAACGAAAATGAAACTGGTTCAAGTGGACAAGGCCATTCAACATTCATTTAGTACTCACCAGCGCTGACAATGACCGCCTAACATCTGTGGATAGACTACCAAAGGAGAGTTTCGTAGCTTGGTAGTTGAGGTCTATCCTTGGAAAAGAACGCATTATTCCACTGCGTGTAAACTTTATTCTGATAAGGTCTTACAGTGTTATACAGTAGTATTTACTGATGACGTTTCGAGCACAATTTATTGCTCCTCATGATCATATCAATGTACTCACATCACTTTCTAACTTCGTTTATATAATTCCATTATTTTTCATCGCTTGACTTGATTGGTAGTAGCATTTTCCATATTTCCGGTATGAGTAATGAGTCATTCCTATTGCACATGCTGGGTATAGACTCTATGAACCAGGATTCAGTAATCAATCTCTATCTCCACCTTCCTATACTGCTTCTTAGGATTTTAACCCTCTCCTACCCTGTTGTGTGGTTGTGTGCAGTGCAATTGCTGAGCTTTTTACCAGATTACTTATCTTCGCGGGGTCAACTATTCTAACCGTAGCTAAATTCTTATATTCTGATAATCTGACCACTCCCGATCTATTGGTTTGACCTATGTAGTTGACCTCACAGTTATTGTAAGGTATTTTATAAATTATATTATTTTGTCTTACTGGACCAACTGCAGACAGGCCGCAACTCAAGTTCAACATACAGAAACTGAAGGACATGACTACAATGGATGCCTTCACTATTCATGAGGTCACAGTAAAGTCGTAGAAAATACTTGATGTGCTCGCTTCTTGATTGCGAGGTGAAGGTTGCTGTTCCTCGATAAACTTCTGTGCAGTCCGTCCCGCCACTTGACTGCCGTAGCTTTGGTTGACTCCAAAAAGAGTAGAATCGCGATTAATTATGTTGTCTGTAGCATGCGGTGTGTTAAGACTTTGTTGCTACTGTGAATGGAGTTGATCCTTTCACCAGTTAGTCCCCCAGCGTTGTCGTCAAAAGAAAAGAGACAGTGATAATAACAGATATAATTAGTGTAGGTTATTCAGACTAAAAGACAGAGAAGGAAATGAAGCAAACGTAGACAGATGGCTAATTAAATTTGAAGTTGAAATATGTATGTATACGATATCAATAATATTAGTGTAAGAGATGTAGTAGCCGGCGTATTCAGGATATTAGGACAGAAGAGAGTGTAAAGAGGTAAAACGATGAATTTAGATGTCTGCCCATGAATGGCGTGTGGGATTTTAAGGGAGTTGGCCATTTAGACACAGTTCTTGTGTCGCCGCATGTTTGTCCAGCCCTCATCTAAAGCTGTCCACAGACCGTGCTGTAGCTACATCTGCTCGTCAGTAGTTGCAGGTACTACAAACCCTCAGTGAAAAGTAGTAGGAGCGCACTCGAGCCTTTCTCCTCTGGTGAGCTATCCTTCTGGTTCTTCTACGAGGAAGCCCATATCCACTTAATGGCAGAACACCTTTGTTTGGGTGCTTGTGGTCATTTGTTTTCATGTAGGCAGTAACCAAACCCACCTAAGGCGACGGTAGCTAAGTGTGAAGGGACCTAATTTTTTTAACCTTTCACCATAAGGTTTGTCTCGGAGACCCACCACTCCTTTGGTTACCCGTCTTTGAACTCTTTTCAAAAGGTTTGATTCTTTTCTAAGCAGTAGGGGTGCAAAAATATTGTGCACTTCAAGGTGTAGTCTGACGTATGTTTTGTACAACCTTATAAAGAACTCGGAAGTGAGTACACCTAACTGGTGGTATTTTGCCTGTCCTCACCCTCGAAAATCGGAGAGAGGATGGCTTCTTTCCAATCCCTCGGCATTTTCCGTGAATCCATCTTGTTGGTTAAAGCCTCATAAGGGTCTACAGAGAGCTTCAGCGCATTGTATCAGAACAGGTAGTCTGATGTCCACACAACCTGGGGACTTTTCCGATGTGAGTCTCTGTAGCTTCCGTAGTACCGTTGTCGGTTTATTTGGAGAGTAGCCACTCAGTTTTCCTCCGGTGAAGTAGTAGTGCCGTCATTTTTGGTCCGTACTAGTAATACCCACTTTCCTGTTTAACTATTTGGCGAAGGCTAAACTAGATGCTTCAGCCATTTCCAGACTTGTGAGTTACTGACCGTTTGGACCCCTGGTTGGTTGGTTTTCTTTCCGACATGGATTAGTACAGGCTTTTGAGTCTCGCTAGGAGGTTTTTTGCAAGATAGGCTTGAAATCACCTCTTATCACTCCCGACTCTTGCTCTGTACCGGTTTCTGAGTTCCGTCGTGTTCGATCTTGATAGGATCCCGCATAAAATAGTATGTCATCATTTCTCGTGCATATTATGGTTGGTTATTCGATCAACTATTTCAAACGCTG